CGTGTTACTCTAACATTCCACGTTACTCTAACATTCCGTGTTACTCTAACATTCCGCATTACTCTAACATTTCGTGTTACTGTAACATTCCGTGTTACTGTAACATTCCACGTTACTCTAACATTCCGTGTTACTCTAACATTCCGTTTTACTCTAACATTCCGCGTTACTCTAACATTCCGTGTTACTCTAACATTCCGTGTTACTCTAACATTCCGTGTTACTCTAAAATTCCACGTTACTCTAACATTCCGTGTTACTCTAACATTCCACGTTACTCTAACATTCCGTGTTACTCTAACATTCCGTGTTACTCTAACATTCCGCGTTACTCTAACATTCCGTGTTACTCTAACATTCCGTGTTACTCTAACATTCCACGTTACTCTAACATTCCGTGTTACTCTAACATTCCGTGTTACTCTAACATTCTACGTTACTCTAACATTCCGCGTTACTCTAACATTATGTGTTACTGTAACATTCCGTGTTACTGTAACATTCCGTGTTACTGTAACATTCCGTGTTACTCTAACATTCCGTGTTACTGTAACATTCCACGTTACTCTAACATTCCGTGTTACTGTAACATTCCGTGTTACTCTAACATTCCGTGTTACTCTAACATTCCGAGTTACTCTAATATTCCGTGTTACTCTAACATTCCACGTTACTCTAACATTCCGTGTTACTCTAACATTCCGTGTTACTCTAACAATCCGTGTTACTCTAACATTCCGTGTTACTCTAACATTCCACGTTACTGTAACATTCCGTGTTACTGTAACATTCCGTGTTACTCTAACATTCCGTGTTACTCTAACATTCCACGTTACTGTAACATTCCGTGTTACTGTAACATTCCGTGTTACTCTAACATTCCGTGTTACTCTAACATTCCACGTTACTGTAACATTCCGTGTTACTCTAACATTCCGTGTTACTCTTAACATTCCACGTTACTCTAACATTCCGCGTTACTCTAACATTCCACGTTACTCTAACATTCCGTGTTACTGTAACATTCCGTGTTACTCTAACATTCCACGTTACTGTAACATTCCGTGTTACTGTAACATTCCGTGTTACTCTAACATTCCGTGTTACTCTAACATTCCACGTTACTGTAACATTCCGTGTTACTGTAACATTCCGTGTTACTCTAACATTCCGTGTTACTCTAACATTCCACGTTACTGTAACATTCCGTGTTACTGTAACATTCCGTGTTACTCTAACATTCCGTCTTACTCTAACATTCCACGTTACTGTAACATTCCGTGTTACTCTAACATTCCGTGTTACTCTAACATTCCACGTTACTCTAACATTCTGCGTTACTCTAACATTCCACGTTACTCTAACATTCCGTGTTACTGTAACATTCCGTGTTACTCTAACATTCCACGTTACTGTAACATTCCGTGTTACTGTAACATTCCGTGTTACTCTAACATTCCGTGTTACTCTAACATTCCACGTTACTGTAACATTCCGTGTTACTGTAACATTCCGTGTTACTCTAACATTCCGTGTTACTGTAACATTCCACGTTACTGTAACATTCCGTGTTACTCTAACATTCCACGTTACTCTAACATTCCGTGTTACTCTAACATTCCGTGTTACTCTAACATTCTACGTTACTCTAACATTCCGTGTTACTCTAACATTCCATGTTACTGTAACATTCCGTGTTACTGTAACATTCCGTGTTACTCTAACATTCCGTGTTACTGTAACATTCCGTGTTACTCTAACATTCCACGTTACTCTAACATTCCGTGTTACTCTAACATTCCGCGTTACTCTAACATTCTACGTTACTCTAACATTCCGTGTTACTCTAACATTCCATGTTACTGTAACATTCCACGTTACTCTAACATTCCGTGTTAATTTAACATTCCGTGTTACTGTAACATTCCGTGTTACTCTAACATTCCGTGTTACTCTAACATTCCACGTTACTCTAACATTCCACGTTACTCTAACATTCCACGTTACTCTAACATTCCATGTTACTCTAAAATTCCGTGTTACTCTAACATTCCGTGTTACTCTAACATTCCGTGTTACTCTAACATTCCACGTTACTCTAACATTCCACGTTACTCTAACATTCCACGTTACTCTAACATTCCATGTTACTCTAAAATTCCGTGTTACTCTAACATTCCGTGTTACTCTAACATTCCGTGTTACTCTAACATTCCACGTTACTCTAACATTCCACGTTACTCTAACATTCCACTTTGCTCGTGCATTCCGCGAGCAGCCAAATACTCTAAACGCGTGGCGATGTTGATTCTAAATGTGGAGGGAAACACCGGAGGACCGGGACAAAAATCCACGCGACCACGGGGAGAGAGGCACGCAAACTCCAAATATACAGCAGCAGGCGTCAGGGTCAGGATCGAACCCACGACCTCCTGCATACCATGCAAGGGTGATAACATCTCGTAGCCACCGAGTGAGTCTTCTGAGGACTAGGTGGCCAGATCATTCACCCGGCCGGTGTTCATCCCGTCACATTTTATCACCGTCACAGATCTGACAGCGGGAAGTCCGGACCAATTTACCACCGATTCGTGGTTGGTTCAAGCACACATGCGGACAAGAGCAGGATGGGATAAGATTAGTTTCAATGCACTCTTCGCCGTACTACTAGTCGGTTCAATAATGACAAAAAATTTTTGTTAAAAAATATAAAACAGAATGAAAGAGCTGTAACATGGCCCACATGACCAGGGCAGGCTACACGGGCCTGCTAAGTCGGCCAGTATTGTTTACCCATGGCTCGGCTCAACAGGTTTCCATAGCGACGTGGCCACTATCTGCAGCCACACTTAGCGTCGGAGTGTAATTAGCGTCACTTTTACCAAACGAAAGTTCCTCTGAGTGCATTTGCACATACCGATTGTATATTTTAAAACCTACACAATTTCCCAATGTATGCATTTACTTAGCTGTCTGTTGCATTTGTGCTGCGGGAGTTTTAAGTGTTTTTAACAATTACCATTTTACGCTTGTATAACGCTATCATTACAGGACAGAAGCAAATGCCAGCAGAACATGGTTCTGTATCTCCACATATAAATACAAATATCGTTTAGTCCATCAGTCTACTGGCTTTCTAGACTTCTATTATCCAGCAACATTTGTCTAAGCAAGGTCTTGTTACACAATAACCCATTACACTGTGTAACAATTGTTTTTGTATCTTCCTGGCTAGTACCGGTAAGTGTTATTTTCTATCTGCTTATGCCTCAAAAGTACAGAAAATGGCTATTATTCCCCACAAACTTTGCTTTTGTGACCAAGACAGTGATATTTTGAAATGTACCTATTTTCCAGAACATTAAAGATAGATTCAGTGCTGAGTAAACTTGGAGTAACTTCTAGAACATTCTAGAACTTTCCAGTAATATAAATAGTATAAATACAGGGGCATTAAGCCCATCATTTCACTATAGTTCCAGCTGCCTAAGCGGATACATATCTGCATTTCTCTGAGATGGCATCAAGAGGCTGCAAGCATCCGGCAGACGCATTTTGCTCTGTCTGCGGTATCAAGACAAGAGTGAAAAAGTACCCTGTGGAAGCATCTGCTAAGATGTGTGAGGCCTACAAGGCATATTTCGGCATGCCTGTCGGGGATCAAGACAAACCCTGGCCACCTCATTTCACCTGCGAGCAATGCAAAAAAACTCTGGAAGATAAGATGGACAATTGTTGCTCGGAATGTTATAAAATTTAAATTGAGAATAGGTTTTCCCCTTTTTTCTGGCAACAAAACAGGTGTTGAGATGTAAGGAGGAATCATGTCTGCATTAACCACAATACTTGTTGAAACAAATGCTCCTTGATCATGTTGGTCTGGAAAGCCATGAGGCTGATGGCCTGAGCAATATTTGAATTATATCTAGATAAATAAATATTATATTTCCTCATTCTAATGAATGAATTGACGCACAGCAACGTGCGTTGGGGTTGCTGGTAGGCCCTGAATGATGGTGCGTTGACTGCAGGTGCGCTACGCATGAGGGCACACCATGGTGGCGAGATGTTAACTACCTCGCCTGGTATACAGGAGGTCGTTGGTTACACCCCGATCCTGACACCTTTTGTATATGTAGAGTTTGTACGTCACCACGCGTTGGGGAGTATTTGGCTGCTACTATAAATGTCCACGACGATAAGCAACTTCGTTGAGCTATCACTTGTGACCAGGTAGCTTACATAGTAGCACAGTGGGCCTTACCTGGTAAAATAAAAAGTTTAAGTTTAGCTTTTAGCAACGATTTCAATCGGACTATACACCTCTCACATTTAAACCCCCACAGACGGCCTCGGCAAAGGAAGCCTTGGCCCCAGTGAACATTTTTTCAATAAAACCTCAAAATGGAACGTGGGATTGATCCGCATAGCGCTATACGTGAAGGCGTGCAACACAATCATCGTCATCATCACAACCATTACCATCATCATGATCATAACAAGCACCATAATCATCACAAGCATCATCACCATAAGCATCACCATCATTACAAGCATCATCATCACAAGCATCATCATCATCATCATCACGAGTAATACCATCATTATCACAATCATCACCAAAACAGACAAAGATCCCCTGCATGGCCTTAACAGACTGTTGGGACAAGCGCTGTTAGCAAGCACCTATAAAGGCCGGAACGGCACACGAGGGGGTGGGTGTCCAGCACCACGCCTGGCCGCCTTTGTCTCCCGAGTGACGATATTTTTACGCACCGCACCAGGTACTCGTTTGAGGCTGAATCAACCTCGGGGAGGCCCAGGACCGGTTCAGATAATCGTCACTGATGTTGGCCGTGAGCGGGAATCGAACCTGGGTCACCAGGTTCATAGCGTGGCGCGCTAACCGCTACAATACTGCTCCCCGTATACCCCACATATGCACGCAATCATCACCATCATCACCGCCATCGTCATCATCGTCATCATCGTCATCATACCCTTCAAAGGCGATGGCCACCCTGTAGGAGATTGCGACTCCACACGTCAAGATGATCCCAGCGGGGCTGGCCTGCCTGCACCCGCCACAGCAGCACAGCACGGCACGCCCTTAAATACCCACACACCACAACACTTCCATCACCACGAAGAACAAAGATCCCACGTGTTGTAGCCTTAACAGACTGTTGGCGTGCTGTTAGCGAGCAGCACCTATGCAGGCCGGCACGGCACACGCGAGGGTGGGTGGCCAGTAGCTCACTCGACCGTCTTTGACTCCTCAGCGGCGATGTTACACACCATTGCACCAGGTACATTGTAGGCTGCGTCGACCTAGGGGAGGCCCATGACCGGTTCAAGTAATCATCACTGGTGTTGGCTGTGAAGCGGAAATCGAACCCGAGTCGTTTTGGGTTGGAGTGGTTTTGGGTTGGAGTGGTTTGGGTTGGAGTGGTTTTGGGTTGGAGTGGTTTTGGGATGGAGTGGTTTTGGGTTGGAGTGGTTTTGGGTTGGAGTGGTTTTGGGTTGGTGTGGTTTTGGGTTGGAGTGGTTTTGGGTTGGAGTGGTTTTGGGTTGGAGTGGTTTTGGGTTGGTGTGGTTTTGGGTTGGAGTGGTTTTGGGTTGGAGTGGTTTTGGGTTGGAGTGGTTTTGGGTTGAAGTGGTTTTGGGTTGGAGTGGTTTTGGTTTGGAGTGGTTTTGGGTTGGAGTGGTTTTGGGTTGGAGTGGTTTTGGGTTGGAGTGGTTTTGGGTTGGAGTGGGTTTTGGGTGGTGTGGTTTTGGGTTGGAGTGGTTTTGGGTTGGAGTGGTTTTGGGTTGGAGTGTTTTGGGTTGGAGTGGTTTTGGGTTGGAGTGGTTTTGGGTTGGAGTGGTTTTGGATTGGAGTGGTTTTGGGTTGGAGTGGTTTTGGGTTGGAGTGGTTTTGGGTTGGAGTGGTTTTGGGTTGGAGTGGTTTTAGGTTGGAGTGTTTTGGGTTGGTGTGGTTTTGGGTTGGAGTGGTTTTGGGTTGGAGTGGTTTTGGGTTGGAGTGGTTTTGGATTGGAGTGGTTTTGGGTTGGTATGGTTTTGGGTTGGAGTGGTTTTGGGTTGGAGTGGTTTTGGGTTGGAGTGGTTTTAGGTTGGAGTGTTTTGGGTTGGAGTGGTTTTGGGTTGGGGTGGTTTTTGGTTGGTGTGGTTTTGGGTTGGAGTGTTTTTGGGTTGGAGTGGTTTTTGGGTTGGTGTGGTTTTGGGTTGGAGTGGTTTTGGGTTGGAGTGGTTTTGGGTTGGAGTGGTTTTGGGTTGGAGTGGTTTTGGGTTGGTGTGGTTTTGGGTTGGAGTGGTTTTGGGTTGGAGTGGTTTTGGGTTGGAGTGTTTTGGGTTGGAGTGGTTTTGGGTTGGAGTGGTTTTGGGTTGGAGTGGTTTGGATTGGAGTGGTTTTGGGTTGGAGTGGTTTTGGGTTGGAGTGGTTTTGGGTTGGAGTGGTTTTGGGTTGGAGTGGTTTTAGGTTGGAGTGTTTTGGGTTGGTGTGGTTTTGGGTTGGAGTGGTTTTGGGTTGGAGTGGTTTTGGGTTGGAGTGGTTTTGGATTGGAGTGGTTTTGGGTTGGAATGGTTTTGGGTTGGAGTGGTTTTGGGTTGGAGTGGTTTTGGGTTGGAGTGGTTTTAGGTTGGAGTGTTTTGGGTTGGAGTGGTTTTGGGTTGGAGTGGTTTTGGGTTGGTGTGGTTTTGGGTTGGAGTGTTTTTGGGTTGGAGTGGTTTTGGGTTGGTGTGGTTTTGGGTTGGAGTGGTTTTGGGTTGGAGTGGTTTTGGGTTGGAGTGTTTTGGGTTGGTGTGGTTTTGGTTGGAGTGGTTTTGGGTTGGAGTGGTTTTTGGTTGGATGTGTTTTTTTGGGTTGGAGGGTTTTGGGTTGGAGTGGTTTTGGTTGGTGTGGTTTTGGGTTGGAGGTGGTTTTGGGTTGGAGTGGTTTTGGGTTGGGTGTTTTGGGTTGGAGTGGTTTTGGTTGGAGTGGTTTTGGGTTGGTGTGGTTTTGGGTTGGAGTGGTTTTGAGGTTGGAGTGGTTTTGGGTTGGAGTGGTTTTTGGGTTGGAGTGGTTTTGGGTTGGAGTGTAGTTTTGGGTTGGAGTGGTTTTGGGTTGAGTGGTTTTTGGGTTGGAGTGGTTTTGGGTTGGTGTGGTTTTGGGTTGGAGTGGTTTTGGGTTGGTGTGGTTTTGGGTTGGAGTGGTTTTGGGTTGGAGTGGTTTTGGGTTGGAGTGGTTTTGGGTTGGAGTGGTTTTGGGTTGGAGTGGTTTTGGGTTGGTTGTGGATTGTTTTAGGGTTTGGAGTTGGTTTTGGTTGGAGTGGTTTTGGGTTGGAGTGGTTTAGGTTGAGGTTGGAGTGGTTTTGGGTTGGTGTGGTTTTGGGTTGGAGTGGTTTTGGGTTGGAGTGGTTTTGGGTTGGAGTGTTTTGGGTTGGAGTGGTTTTGGGTTGGGAGTGGTTTTGGGTTGGTGGTTTTGGGTTTGGAGTGGTTTTGGGTTGGAGTGGTTTTGGGTTGGAGTGGTTTTGGGTTGGAGTGGTTTTGGGTTGCGAGTGGTTTTGGGTTGGAAGTGGTTTTGGGGTTGGGTGGTTTTGGGTTGGAGTGGTTTTAGGTTGGAGTGTTTTGGGTTGGAGTGGTTTTGGGTTGGAGTGGTTTTGGGTTGGTGTGGTTTTGGGTTGGAGTGGTTTTGGGTTGGAGTGGTTTTGGGTTGGAGTGGTTTTGGGTTTGTGTGGTTTTGGGTTGGAGTGGTTTTGGGGTTGGATTGTGGTTTTGGGTTGGAGTGGTTTTGGGTTGGAGTGGTTTTGGGTTGGTAGTGGTTTTGTGGTTAGGAGTGGTTTTGGGTTGGAGTGGTTATTGGGTTGGTGTGGTGTTTGGGTTGGAGTGGTTTTGGGTTGGAGTGGTTGGGTGAGAGTGTTTTCGGGTGGATGTGTTTTGGGTTGGAGTGGTTTTGGGTTTGTGTGGTTTTGGGTGGAGTGGTTTTGGGTGGAGTGTTTTGGGTTGGAGGGTTTTAGGTGGATTGGTTTTGGGGTTGGAGTGGTTTTGGGTTGGTGTGGTTTTGGGTTGGATTGGTTTTTGGGTTGGAGTGGTTTGGGTTGGCGTGTTTGGGTTGGAGGGTTTTGGGTTGGAGTGGTTTTGGGTTGGTGTGGTTTGGGTTGGAGTGGTTTTGGGTTGGAGTGGTTTTGGGTTGGAGTGGTTTTGGGTGGAGTGGTTTGGGTTGGAGTGGTTTTGGGTTGGATGTGTTTTCTGGGTTGGAGTGGTTTGGTTGGAGTGTTTTTGGGTTGGAGTGGTTTTGGGTTGGAGTGGTTTTTGGGTTGGTGTGGTTTTGGGTTGGAGTGGTTTTGGGTTGGAGTGGTTTTGGGTTGGAGTGGTTTTGGGTTGGAGTGGTTTTGGGTTGGAGTGGTTTTGGGTTGGTGTGGTTTTGGGTTGGAGTGGTTTTGGGTTGGAGTGGTTTTGGGTTGGAGTGGTTTTGGGTTAGAGTGGTTTTGGGTTGGAGTGGTTTTGGGTTGGTGTGGTTTTGGGTTGGAGTGGTTTTGGGTTGGAGTGGTTTTGGGTTGGAGTGTTTTAGGTTGATGTGATTTTGGGTTGGAGTGGTTTTGGGTTGGTGTGGTTTTGGGTTGGAGTGGTTTTGGGTTGGAGTGGTTTTGGGTTGGAGTGTTTTGGGTTGGAGTGGTTTTGGGTTGGAGTGGTTTTGGGTTGGTGTGGTTTGGTTGGGGTTGGTGAGTGGTTTTGGGTTGGAGTGGTTTTGGGTTGGAGTGGTTTTGGGTTGGAGTGGTTTTGGGTTGGAGTGGTTTTGGGTTGGTGTGGTTTTGGGTTGGAGTGGTTTTAGGTTGGAGTGTTTTGGGTTGGAGTGGTTTTGGGTTGGAGTGGTTTTGGGTTGGTGTGGTTTTGGGTTGGAGTGGTTTTGGGTTGGAGTGGTTTTGGGTTGGAGTGGTGTTGGGTTGGTGTGGTTTTGGGTTGGAGTGGTTTTGGGTTGGTGTGGTTTTGGGTTGGAGTGGTTTTGGGTTGGAGTGGTTTTGGGTTGGAGTGGTTTTGGGTTGGAGTGGTTTTGGGTTGGAGTGGTTTTGGGTTGGAGTGGTTTTGGGTTGGAGTGGTTTTGGGTTGGAGTGGTTTTGGGTTGGAGTGGTTTTGGGTTAGGTGTGGTTTTGGGTTGGAGTGGTTTTGGGTTGGAGTGGTTTTGGGTTGGGAGTGGTTTGGGTTGGAGTGGTTTTGGGTTGGAGTGGTTTTGGGTTGGAGTGTTTTGGGTTGGGTGGTTTTGGGTTGGAGTGGTTTTGGGTTTGGTGTGGTTTTGGGTTGGTGTTGTGGTTTTGGTTGGAGTGGTTTTGGGTTGGAGGTGTTTCGGGTTGAGTGGTTTTGGTTGGAGTGGTTTTGGGTTGGTGTGGTTTTGGGTTGGAGTGCTTTGGGTTGGAGTGCTTTTGGGTTGGAGTGTTTAGGTTGATGTGATTTTGGGTTGGAGTGGTTTTGGGTTGGTGTGGTTTTGGTTGGAGTGGTTTTGGGTTGGAGTGGGTTTTAGGTTGGAGTGTTTTGGGTTGGAGTGGTTTATGGGTTGGAGTGGTTTTTGGTTGGTGTGGTTTTGGGTTGGAGTGGTTTTGGGTTGGAGTGGTTTTGGGTTGGAGTGGTTTTGGGTTGGAGTGGTTTGGGTTGGAGTGGTTTTGGGTTGGTGTGGTTTTGGGTTGGAGTGGTTTTAGGTTGGAGTGTTTTGGGTTGGAGTGGTTTTGGGTTGGAGTGGTTTTGGGTTGGTGTGGTTTTGGGTGGAGTGGTTTTGGGTTGGAGTGGTTTTGGGTTGGAGTGGTTTTGGGTTGGTGTGGTTTTGGGTTGGAGTGGTTTTGGGTTGGTGTGGTTTTGGGTTGGAGTGGTTTTGGGTTGGAGTGGTTTTGGGTTGGAGTGGTTTTGAATTGGAGTGGTTTTGGGTTGGAGTGGTTTTGGGTTGGAGTGGTTTTGGGTTGGAGTGGTTTTAAGTCGGAGTGTTTTGGGTTAGAGTGGTTTTGGGTTGGAGTGGTTTTGGGTTGGAGTGGTTTTGGGTTGGAGTGGTTTTGGGTTGGTGTGGGTTTGGGTTGGAGTGGTTTTGGGTTGGAGTGGTTTTGGGTTGGAGTGGTTTTGGGTTGGAGTGTTTTGGGTTGGTGTGGTTTTGGGTTGGAGTGGTTTTGGGTTGGAGTGGTTTTGGGTTGGAGTGGTTTTGGGTTGGAGTGGTTTGGGTTGGAGTGGTTTTGGGTTGGTGTGGTTTTGGGTTGGAGTGGTTTTGGGTTGGAGTGGTTTTGGGTTGGAGTGGTTTTGGGTTGGAGTGGTTTTGGGTTGGAGTGGTTTTGGGTTGGAGTGGTTTTGGGTTGGAGTGTTTTGGGTTGGTGTGGTTTTGGGTTGGAGTGGTTTTGGGTTGGTGTGGTTTTGGGTTGGTCTGGTTTTGGGTTGGAGTGGTTTTGGGTTGGAGTGTTTCGGGTTGGAGTGGTTTTGGGTTGGAGTGGTTTTGGGTTGGTGTGGTTTGGGTTGGAGTGGTTTTGGGTTGGAGTGGTTTTTGGTTGGTGTGGTTTTGGGTTGGAGTGGTTTTGGGTTGGAGTGGTTTTGGGTTGGAGTGTTTCATGGTTGGTGAGGGATCCACAGCTCGAGAGTTGGAGCCACTCTCCGTGAACGTCCAAACACGTTCACTGAATGAGGGACTTGAAATTTAGTCAGTCTCGTAATAAATAACATTGTGGCTTTCGCACGTATTATATTCATGCACTAAAACAATTAGCGATGAAAAAAATAAGCATTAATTCCACATTAACCCTGGTATACGCTCATAGAAACCTAATTTCTTCATAACTGCTTTTTTGTATTTACGGTTGGCACTACACGGTGAAAAATAAGTTGAACATTCACACGAAGGTAAACAAATAAATCTTTAAACTCTCTGTTTTGCTGTTCGCTTTGTGGCGTTGTTCTCTGGTCTAACACTGGTTGAAGGCTTCTGTCTCTGGTGTAGACCAATCAGTTCCAAAGACAAAGCCAGATATTGTCAGAGCATGTTTGCTTGCATGTACCGTGGGTGGTTAATGCGAATTTGATTATTTGCAAAACGTTTCTATTTGGTGTTTGAGCATCTTAACACAACCCATGTTTTATTGCTATTTGAGCAAATTAATCATTATTAAACACAATAATTAACGATTTTCGCTTCTGCAAAGCATCAGGGGGGTGAGAATCTCACTTCAAATAAACAGAATAAACCAAGCTTGTCCTGTTTACAACAAAAACATCCTTGGCAATACATGACCCCCCTCTTGTAAGGCATTGCAAATTTTGCCTCGAGAAAACCATTAGCCTGTCAACAGTAGGTAATTTCCGTCCTGCCTGCGCCACTCACATGTTTTGCTGACATTCCATTGTTCCGACAAGGTATCAATTCTCCCCCATATTCCTCAAAGTGCACAGCAGCATGGGGAAGCGTCATCTTTGTCTCCCCTTCAAATGAATGGCTCACAAAACCATTTTTTTTGTTCGTTTCAACACGGGGTTGGTCGGCCGCGGCGTGGCGGCTGGCTGTCTTCCGCTCAAGATCCAAAAAATCCGCCGGCACTCGAGAGAGAGGCGCCGGACGTAAACACGGTCGGTCGGTCGCCAGGCAACTACGGCCACGGACGCTAAGCAACGAGGGATAAAGGGTGACCTATTTCCCCGCGGTGCGCGCGTACGTGCCTGCCGCTGGTGAATTACAGCGAAGGTATGCAACGACGTGTTCTTTCGCGAAGCTAAGAGCTTTACAGAGAGAGAGAGAGAAATAAAGAATATTCGAGCTCAATGGCAGCTTCCAGCGCCGTGGCGTTGGGTGTGCGCTTCTGGGCCTCCGCGGCTTGCACAGATCCACGGACGCGAAGCTCCCGCGTGCAGGAAGCCAACCAGGGCTCATCGCCTGCAAAGAGGAGCTGCAAAGCGCGACGATCGGCCAACGTCGGCGCGCAAGTGGCGCCGACGACGCTGAAGTGCATCGGTCGTCCGCAATTTTTTAAGTAAATAAACACGAAGCCCGACAAAATTCCCTCGCGTTGTCCCAGTCGCGCCAGGTCTCTCCCTGGCCAAGTGACAGCATTGCAACGAACGCTCTCGAGTCACTGCCTGGTATCAAAAGTGCAAGTCGGCGGTGGGATTTGTACTCGCTGTACACTAGATTCAGTTGCTGCGTCGCTCCCATAACCCTGACGACTCGTGCTAATCCGAGATGCGGGGGCGGGGGGGGGCAGAAAGGACGGCAAACTAATAAACAAAAACACTAAACGCGAGTGCGACCGCTCCTCACATTAAGGAGCAGCCCAGGAAATTGAGCGTCGAGCCCCAGTACATGGGGTTGTCGGTGACGCTGAATGGGAAGCCGGCCGCCTTGCCGTCCATGAGGATACCGCAGTAGTCGCCTGTTGACAAACGGCACGCAGGGAGAGAGAGAGAGAGGGAGGGAGGGAATTGGAGCAAATGTTTTGGCCAAGTGACTCGCTGTAAAATAATCTCGCTTTGGTGGCCAACAATTCACAGGGGGCCGATTCGGGCAACCCCGCCGGGATGTCCAAACTACAGCTGACAATCGATCGATGAGCTTTTAGTCATTCTTGGGTTGTTTGTTTTGTTTGCCTTGCACTGCAGATGGAGAAGCTGCAAGTTGATGGACAGCATGCTGCAACACATTGTGTAAACAATATAGATTTTCAGTTTTCAGTTTATTTCTTTTGGTATAGCCCTTTGAGCCATTCGGCTCTTGAATCGGGTGCAACCACAACAAACAAAAACATGAACAAGAAAACATCTTAAAGTGATTATGTGACAGTGCAAACAGAAAATCCATGAAAAAAAAACCAGCAAAAAATTCCTGAAAAAAGCACCGTACACCAACGCTGTGTGCAAAAAATCCCAGTGGGATGCAAGTCAAACAACAACCACAAGAAAACTTAGATTAAGGCCATCAGTCTAACTCCGTACTACAATAAAACAAACATGTCCAAACCAAAAAACGTTTTCGAAATCACCAAAAAATAAAGCCATAATTGCAACGTAACAGTGATCATAGGGACTGACCGAATTTTTACAATAAACTACATAAATAACATGTAACACCAAATCCTAGAGCCATAGCTGGCTGCATGAGTTACTCCACAACAACAGAAGCATCAGCCGGAGTATCAAATTTTTCAATGCACCTTTAAGATCAGCACGCTAAATCAAAATACAGATAATACTTTGCAGCGTCATCCGGAGCGAAACATTTTATTTTATTTTACGCCAATGAATAGCAGTGGCAGCTAGGGGTGTACAACTCCTCTAGAGCAGTTTTGAGAGAAGATCTCATTGGTAGCGATTCAAGTTGCAGTTTATTGGCAATAGCATTCCAGACCCTGGGGGGCATCAATAGCAAAGGTCCTTCCTCCAGTTTTTGTACGGCAATAGGGAATGTGAAGCTGGTAAATGAGCGAAGACCTGAGGTCAAATTTGTTCTTTAAAACAGTGAGGAGATCCAGCAGGCAGTCTGCGGATTTTTTTTGTAAGTACATCGTGAATAAATAAGATCTGGTGCACAAGCCGTCGAACATTAAGAGATGTTAAGTTTGACCCAATGTAGAGATCACAGTGGTGAGTCCTATATGGGCAGTTCAATGTAAAACTTAAGGACGAGTGATAGATGAAATCAAGCTTCTTCAGTACAGTACTTGGGGCTGATTTATACATGATGTCACAGTAGTCAAGTAGAGGCAGTATGGTAGCTTTTATCAATTCCAAACGGAAACATTGGGGGGAAGCAGTGCTTGTGTCGATACAGAAAACCAATTTTTATTTTTGTCTTTTTACCAATATAATCAATGTGATCTTCAAAATTCAGTTTTGCATCCAGGATGATCCCAAGATACTTATAGATCTTCTTGGTTCTTTCGGTAAAATAAAATTCTCACGATGTTTCGGCCACAACACAAGTAGCCTTCTTCAGGTGAAGGAACAGAACTGTCGGGACGACAGCGCTTCAATGAACGCTGCTAAGATTCGTAGCGTCTTTTAAGCTAGGTGAGAGAAGTAAAGCGCCTTGACAAAGGAGTTTACATATCAAACAGGAGAACTTAGCATTGAAATAGCTGAGGGATTAGCTTGTGACTGGTCGCAGAAATAGCTATGTTAAAGTCAAAGTTTACATATCAATAGAGGCATTTAGTATATGGACGCTAAAGGGCTGCAACTACCCAACTATCATACAGTAAAAAACATCTCCAAAATCCTGAATAAACACAAGATCCAGGTCCGATTCAACACGGTACATAAAATCCATGATCTGGTTCCATCTGTAAAAGATGCTGTTCCAGACTCAACGCCCGCGTCTGCAATTGGGCATTAAGTCTGCCGGGGGGGGTGGGATGGTTGCTCCTGTACCTGTAACCCCTC